CCTGTAGCTGTTTTCATAAATCTAGTGCTATTTTTTCTATAACGCCTCCCGATTTTAAAAATCTAACCTGACCTGACTGACCTTTTCCGTCACCGGGACGTCAACGAGAACGAGATTATTACTGTATGACATGACGACAAGTCATTTGGGGACTGTGGACAAGCGGCTATAGTAAATGTAGGTTTGTGTCACTACGTCGACCGCGTCATCTCGTTGACGTCCCGGTAATGGCCGCGGTAGACAAACGCTCTTGTAGAGTAAGATCCCAAGACTGCCAGACCTTACTTTTTTTTTATATTGCCAGGTAGGAAAATGACTCTACCCCACCTGATGTTAAGTTGGTGATAAAGTCCAAACGCGAAGATAGCTGGTACAGCAATTACTTATTTTCTCGTGGACAAAATATGGATAATAGAGTAGTATTTGTATGTACAATGAACGATATTCGCTAACTTGTGCTGTGGGTTCATTTTCAAGTATCAGGTTGCACAGGCACGTAAAAATTTTACTCATTTACTTACCGTCTGGGGCCTGATTCTCAAGTATGTTGTAGAGAATATTGAAAACAATTTGAAATACTGCCAGACACGACGATATACAGGGCGTCCCACGGCTACCTCACACGAAGGGAAAGTATATTAAATATTGAAGATAGGATATTTTACTGAAAGAAGACATCATTTTATTTTTAATAATAACTAGAACTGCATTAACAGTTTTTTTTAAAAATCGTCTGCTACAACTGAGAATCAAACTTGTGAAATTTCAAAAAAAAATACAACATATTTTATGATAACCATCGCAAGTGTTAATCTTAAAGATTAATTTTTGCTCAATAACATAGCATTTTAAACGAAAGAAAAGTAATTTAATTTAACATTTTATTTAAAATTATTGAACACAAACTAATATAAAATCGGATTCGTCTCAAAGTTAGTTGAAATGTTGAGTTCATCATCATTGACGTTTATCATCCGCTGCTGTGGTTCTGTAAGCGCATATCAAAACGTCATAAAGTTCTTAAAGTATCCACTAACCTTTTAAACACATATCGAGAAGGTACGTACCTCTATCAGGGTATAATTCGCGGTACCACCGCAAAGCTAATATGTCATTGTGATACATTAAGTAAGCTTCCATTAAATCCATTTTATTCTGATACCCCATGGTAAGTAAATTAACAAAAAATTGGAAAAAAACGAAAATGAAACTTACAAAAAACAAAAGAACAGACGCTTGAAAATTTATGTGTTCCATTTTTAAATTATTATTTTTACAAATTTCAGCCAATCGCATTGTAACTGTGAGTTCAAAAAGAAATGCATACGTACTACAGTTTGTGTATCACTTTATTATTTCATCACGTAATAAGATATTCCTTTCATTTAAAAATCTATGTTATTTAGTAAAAAAATATGGGTGCGTGTACTTAAGTACGCGCGTGAGAAGTTATACTTCTTTTTGGAATTATTAAAAAATAGTTTTTAATTGCATGCAGATAATTAATTACAATAAGATAATAAAAGGATTCGAAAAGGATAGTCAACGCAGTCAATAAAGTTCAGTTTTAATTTGAAAAATTTAATAAATAATCAAAATATTCAATTTAAATCACTACTGAATAAAATTTATTGGCACATATAAATTTCGCATTTGTATAACATTATAACATGTGTTAAGAATATAGAAACTAGAAACATGTGGATAAATATTATAAATATGAAAACAGTGATCAGAAGCGACGAGCGTCCCAACATGTGCGACTAAGAGATCCTATTACTATTTTGTTGGAAGCTTTTTTTCGAGACTTACGAGTAATGTGCGGTTTAGCGGCCGACTTCATGGTGTTACTTTTCCGTTACAGTGTTGCGCGCGCATCTTAAAATTTCACTCTCATCATTTTTTCATAACGCGCCCGCGGCTAACTTCATTATGTTACTTTTGTCTTACAGTGATGCGCGCGCATCTTAAAATTTCACTCTCATAATTTTTTCATAACGCGGCTAAAGAAGTATAACTTCAAAAATAATCCTTATGATTAACCCTTTCGATGGTTATCATAAAATATGTTGTGTTTATTTTTTTCGAAAATTCATGAGAATGATTCCCAGTTGTAGCAGGCGATTTTTAAAATTCTGTGAATGCAGTTATAGTTATTATTAAAAGTAAATCGATGTCTCCTTTCAGTATTTACTTACAATATTTACTTACAAGTTACGAATGGGTGTACGTGGTGCGGCACAACAGATTTCACGCACGAGTTGGAACCCTACAGTTAAATTGTGAAAGAAATCTCCACTTTTACACAAGAAGGGGGCCAAATAAATGTAGGTTGTATGTAGGTATTTTGTTCCGCTATGATAAATCACTTTTATTCATATAATTTTGTTAGAAATGAAAGCGATAGAAAAACGACAGCTTTTATAACTTTTATGCCCGTATTATAGAAAGATTCTCAGTAACAAATCTAGTCTTGAGCATAGATAGAAAGGGATGTCGCTATACATAGCACATAGCGACATCCCTTTCTAACTGTACTCGAGTAAAGATCAACACTTAGTTGTCATTCTGTAATACGGGCCTTAGACACATACACTTATAAAATCCATTTACGGATAACATAATTATGTATACTTAGTAGTTTCCGAAATAGTCCGTCCGTCCGTTGGATACGCTGTCAGAATTTCTGATCACAATCTATATGGGAAGTTAGCACATGGCGTATTGTTTGCTTTTCATATTGATTGCTCCTATTCGAGTGAAGGAGATAATAATACACCTACTACATTGTCTTTAATATTAATATGTATCACGAGGAAAACAATCTTAAAAAAAAATTGCCTCAGTGGCGTAATTCACAAAGGTGACATAAGCTTGGGTCAAGTAATTTTATTATGATGCGAAACAGCAACCGTCTGAAACGCGGAACGTGACTATTGCATTCGGAATAGTCATACGACATTATAGAAACTTTATTACCTATCTCCACGCCTATTTCTTAACACTACCAACGTTTCTAGAATATAAAAAGAAAGCAAAAATCCTAGTTACTTGTCTTATAGTATATAATCACGCTCACACCCAAGTAGTCTAAGTAAAACATACACCACACAAGGAACCTGACTTATCTCTATATAATATATAAAAGGCAACAGTTACCGACTCCCCCCACGACAACGGCTTACTAGAGCCGAGGTCCAAGTCTCAGAGACGCCCTCTAGTTGAGCCGACCCCCTCAGGTTCGAGTGGTCTAGAGGCTCCAGACGGAGAGGAGGCTCCCCCGCCTCCGACTCCTCCCACACAAGCCACAAACACCAACACTACACAGCTAGCATACTTGCACACTAGCTAAGCATTTGGCAGACACCGCACCCGTAGGATAAGAGTGCGAAGACCCGGTCTGCACACGACACGTTACGATAAGGTACAGGTACGTACCTGGCCATTTTTCCCCGCCGCCCACAACAACGGCTTACTAGAGCCGAGGTCCAAGTCGCAGAGACGCCCTCTAGTTGAGCCGACCCCCTCAGGTTCGAGTGGTCTGGAGGCTCCAGACGGAGAGGAGACCCCCCGTGGGGAGATGCCATCCGCCTGGAATACCTCTAGAGGTACTCGCCAATTCTCGACTTGAGGTCCCCTTAGGATCTCGCCGGCCCCAAACCCGGTGACGCTGCAAAGGTTTTCTGCGACCAACAGCATACACATAAAAAAAAAAGTTACCGACTGACTGATCTGTCAACGCACAGCTCAAACCATTGAACAGATTGCGCTGAAATTTGGCACGCATATAGCTATTATGATGTAGATATGCACTAAGAATTTTGCGAAACTCGCGCCCTAAAGGGGTAAAAGGGGCTTCAAAGTTTGAATATGAAACTAATAATATATATGAAATTCATTATACCGCCGTCCTCAAGCTAAAACGCGCCTAAATGACAAAACCAACTTTTGAGATATGGCCAATAAAAGGGCGTGTAAACTTTAATTTATTGCTATTTTGTAACCATTCATCAAATGACGGATTTTTAGACTAAACTACAAAAGAAACGAATACTTGTTAAAAACAGATCGATAGAAAATGAAAAACGGAATTTAAGACTAAAAAATCGACCACATGTCACTTAGCCGCACTTTAGTTTGAGGACGGCAGTATATATATACTTGTATATAAAAACCTATGTATGTTGTTTATATATTTATAAGTATGTTTATTCAGATGTACACGCTAACTGCCTTTTCTTATATTATTTCTACCACGGGCCTACTGACAAAAAAATCAGATTGAAATAAGTTGTGCCCTATAAATGTATATTTAATTAAGTTGCTCCTATATCTATATTTGAGTGTACAGAATAAATAATATTTCCACGCAGATGAAGTTACAGGCACCCACTAGTTTCTTAATAGAGCCAAGCTTCTTGCTTGTGTGGTTGCAATTCGATATTCTGCAACAGGCGCTTATGAGGTCTTGCGTAGAACCTAGTTTATCTTTAAAGCTTGCCATAAACGGACCACATTCGAAAAGTATATATTCAAGACACCGTAGGGGCGCAATACTATTTTTTCATGCGATATCTTAGGACGACACCAAAACAATTAGTTTCCTGAATGTGTTAATTATGTTGCAATGAACTATATTTTTGTTATTAAAGCTTTGTTTATATTTGCAGACACTGTTTGTACAGACTCTCGTGTTAAGAAATAAAAGTTATTTTATATAGGTATCCAACTTCGTATATATATATGTATCTACTCATATAAAAACAAACAAATAGTTTTCGCCTCCCCGGAGACGTAAATAATGCTCGACTCGATCGATACCTGTCAAACTTCTATACGAAATAAAAGTTAGAGCAAGTTGTGTGAATACGAGAACACAGGGCCTTGAACAGTTGCAAAATTCCGATACTTACCTTCCTTAACTCGGTGGTAACAAGATTCATTATAACGTGAGACAAAAGACGACGGAGGCGTTTCGTTGCCAAAGAAATTGGTGAGACATGCATGAAGAAAGACAGACTCATGAACGTTCTATTAGCGTCGCAAAAGATTTTGCTTTAGAAATTTATGGGTAAGAAACTTACAGATGAGTGTTTTGCCAACCAAACGGACGTAAGCCACTGGAAATGATTTAGTTACTACTAACAAACATGCGTACATATTTATAATTTTTATAATTTTTAATGTTGATTCTTAAATCTAAATGCGTACATATTCTTTTCATAATTACATCCCTCGTGAGATTGACAAAGCAGCAATGAGCATAATAGCCCGTTCTGCCTTACAAATAAATAAATGAATATCGTGTACCCACCTAAAATCACTAAATAATATAAAAACGTAGATCGTAGAAAAGTATTATCGTCCTCCTTGGAAATTTTCTGGGTTATTTCGTTGCGTTTCAAAAAGATCCGAAGACGTATAGTTTTTTTTAATAATAAAGTGATTTCGAAGCAATCTGGTGAAACAATTTACTTGAATACCAGAAAGTAGGTACTCCTTCCTTTAGAGGCTTGAACTTTTTTCAAACTTTTTTTAACAAGGGATTGGCTGCCATCTTTCTACGCAACCATCTAGACGGGCTGCAATCTAGATGGTTGCGGAAACATGGCGGAAACAATAAAAAGCTTGCTGGTGGTCTACCGTCATAAATCATAAGAACCTGCTTTGAAATGATACCTTTTAAATGCAAAAAAACCTCAACGAAGTCTTTCAGCGGTAGATAAGTGGAATTCTTCGAATCGTTTGAACGATAACGATAATACATAATTTATATATCGGCATAAACAATGAATCCACATGTCGTAAGTGTTTTTACGTATCAAACATGTTTTGTATATATTTAACAAAGCTTGCGAATCCAGTGACATTATATTTATCGCCGAAACTTTATACTTAGCGAGTGTCTTTTAAATTAGAATTGTCAAGCTGGCGAACAATACGGCATAATTAGATCAAATAAAATTTTACAGGAGCAGTAAAAAATGGTGTGATTTTTAAGTGAGCTTTTGGCGTGATTTTTAATTTAGTAATATTAACGCTATTTTAGGCGGTTTTGATTGACAAGAGTTGAAATTCAAATTCAGCTGGCCCAAAACCTGCGGGCTGTAAAAATAAATTATTGCATGGTCAAAACCATATGCGTAATTATACAGTTTTGTTCGCCAGCTCCACAATTGGTACTTGTCTACGGCACCAGTAATATTTTCGATGAAAATTTTAACTTTATACCGCGTCCGTCCCGTCGTGGGTGAAAAAGGTCAGACTTGACGCTTCAGATGTCATATCTCCAGTATGTATTTTTTGACGTGATAACATAGGTATTATAAATTGATGAACACCGGCTGCACGCACGAAAAAGTGTCACGTTCCGACTGAGCCTGAGCTTGCAAGAGAGAGCGCGGAACAATCGATAGAGAGGCACGATAATTTTTCATCAATGTTTCTGTATGACGTTATCACGTAAAATTATCGTCCGTAAACCGACTTTTCAGACAACCAATTTTTATTTTACCACCGACAACCAATTTTTAATCATTCACAGAACGCTACAGCCGATAATGTATTCACCTCGTGGCGATTTCGATCCGATTGAATATTGAATCGCCATTCGAGTTGAATACGATCAAAAGCCCTTCTTTATCGCCTACGCACCTAAACCACTTACGCATTGACATTGGAAAAAAACGTGGGAATAAAAGTTGCATAATGTATTTGACACAAATATTAAAAAAAAGAAATCGGAGTACAAACGAAATTCAGATAACAGCAACATTTTAACAAGGCTCAAATTGTTATTAAAATTATGAGTCGACGTACTAGAAAAATAATGTTACCCACGTTACGACGCGCGCGACATTGTACACGGACCGGATTTAATGAAAGCATATTATTATTTCCTTGCCACCCACGAAATATGCGGATGAATTTCCCCAGTAGATGGGTACAAGTAGAAAGCTGAAAGCTCTTATTGCGTCACCACTCGCAATGTTCCAACCAATAAGTGAACGTCCGAATTATTGCGATTCAATCCGCGTAGATCTCGACACGGTGTGTTTTATGAGAAGTCGACGGCATTTTAAATAACCAATTTTGGTACCCAGAATCTTTACGAGATCGACTCACGTAGTTACATGCCCAAATTATGAGTCCAACATTATCATGTGAATATTTTGATTGGTTACCTTTATTGAATTTTTGAGTAACGAGGTTTCGGTACTGCGTCGAAAGGTTGAATTCTTAAGGACACCACCCTGTAAACTTCTGGTGCAATACAAAAGCTAAGAAAGAAGAAGAATCTACACTGCGTAAAGTAATCTTTTTATAAGTCGTAGTAAATCACCGCCCACCACATGCACCACAAGCATGAATTTTGACAGATCAGTAACGTAAACTTAACTTATTTCGTAAGTTAATGATAGACATAGCAATACTACTTAAAGCTCAAACAATGTTTGCGCTTGCAATCCTAATAGAAATATTGGTAAGTAGCGTTACGTTAGTGTCTCGCTATGACATGTTTTTGCGTATGTATGCCGTTGGTCGCAGATGACCTTTACAGCGTCACCGCGTTTGGGGACGGCGAGATCCTAAGGGGACCTCAAGCCGAGAATTGGCGAGGGTCTCTAGAGGTATTCCAGGCGGATGGCATCTCCCCACGGGGGGAGTCTCCTCTCCGTCTGGAGCCTCTAGACCACTCGAACCAGAGGGGTCGCTATGAACAGGGTTCGTGCTTCCAAGTTTGTTCTTACGTCCGGTAGGCGGTGCTTTATTTCCATAGAAAACATAACAGATGCGACATAAAAAGAGTACAATTAATAGGTAAGGATGCTAGAACGGACCCGACACTTTTTGGGCATGCTCCAAGCTCCTTCTATGGAACCTTACAACAGCTTACTCACCCATTCAAACACATACCACCACCAAAAGCGTGTGATGTCACAGTTGTCTTCTGTATTTAAGGAGGATCCTCTGGAACCTTATCGCTCTTTACCCACCATCTCAAACACCACAGAACACCACCAAAAGTTTGTAATGTCACAGTAATCTCCTGAACCTACGGAAAGGGAAAAAATAATATTCTTTATACCTCACAGGACATACAAGACATTGAACATGACAGGGAAAACGTACACAATAGGCGGCCTTATTGCTAAACAAGCAATCTCTTCCAGGCAACCCATGACAGTGAAATAAATAAATAAGAGGAACAAGAAGGGGGGTGTAACAGGTATGGTAAAATAAATAATGAATAACAGATGCAATAGATATATCTAAAGATACAGACAATAGAGAGGTAAGATTCAAAGTTGGGAAAGGAAGTAACCTCTAACCTAACCTAACTTGATTACTTACCGAGCTTAGAAAGCCATTCGGATTGTTTCAGGTAGTGGGCCCCATTAATGAACAGAATGCACGGAGAAGGACTATGAAAAGAAATCAGTTGAATGGAGTGGGACTGCAAGGTTTAGATTTGGAACATACTTTTAGATAGGGCGAAGAAGAAGGAAGGAAAAGTACAGAATAGAGAACCGTAACAGTGTGTAAGTCCCTGCGTCGGCGAATAGGGAGCCATTTTAGTCTGGATCGAAAGTGAGGCACACATGGTCATATTTACGTAGGTTAAAAATGAATCTGATACACATATTCTGCAGACGTTCCAGCTTGTTCTGAACCAAAGTGACCTTTATACTTGTTGGTAAAAATTACGCAACCGGATTAGTGTGTTTACCCTGAGGAACTCCGGTATTGATAGTGCACCACGCAGAGAAGTTGCTTTCGATGCAGATGCGCTGCCGGGGCCCTAGCAGGTAACTTTGCAACCAATCAATAGCCACTGGAGATATGTTTAGAGAAAGTAGAACAGCAAGAAGGATATCAAAATCAGCAGAGTTGAAGGCGTTGCTCAAGTCAAGCAACGTCATCAGTGTAAGTGGACGATTCTCCATGCCACATCGAATGTCATCCGAGATCTTAATCAATGCAGTAGTAGTGCTATGACCGCACTGGAAAGGGTTTAGAAGTTGGTTTTGGTTAAGAAAGCTTGTAAATTGACGATAAACAGAACTTTGGAAAGAAAGGGAAGGATGGAAATGGGACGAAATTCAGAAAATGAGGCAGGATTGTTTTTTTTAGGAATTGGGATAACGTTTGCATCCTTCCAAGATGCAGGAAAAACTCCGGTCAAAATAGAAGTATTTAGGATGTGGGTAATAATGGGAGTTCAAATGTCAAGGATGGGAAGAATCATTTTCCGGCTAATAGAATTAACCACCTGCATTAGAATAAATCTTTTGTATGGTTCTCTTAACATCACAGTCGGCAAACTAATGTAAGAAAAAAGAAGAATCTTGAGTCAGCAAATAAGAAAGAAATTGCAATGTTTTAAGTTTGTGGGATGCATCAAGCGGCATAGAAGTAGAGAAGTAACTACTAAGTTTGTCAATTTCCAAATTATTAGTAGTAATAGAATTACGGGATTTGCCGACCCCTAGAGATTTTAAGAATTTCCATACTTTTGCAGGATCTTCATTTTCGACAGATTTGTGAATATAGCGTCTTTGAGCGTCTCTTATCACAGTATTGCATGGATTTCTGATACGAATATATTTCATTTCATTTTGTTTCGAGGGATTAATCTTGAACCTTGCTTTAGCAGTATTTTTTTAGCCATTAGCCCGCGGATCTTTTCTGATAACCATGGAGCCGGCAGGTGTTTAATTTTTACCGGTCGAACGGGTGCATGCATGTCATACAACTTAGTGATTAGCGTATTAAAATGTTCCACTTGCTCATCAACAGACTTAGAAACGAAAATCGCAGACCAGTCCATATTGGCAGCATCTTCAAGCAGATGTTCCTGATTCACTCCTGAAAAACTACGCTGTAGTTGAACTGTGGGCTTTAATTTAGGAGTACGAATCCTATACGATAGGTATATCAAATCATGATATGAGAAAGCGTCTGCAGAATATTGGCCGTGCTTAGCGGCGAATGTGGATGAGGAGACGATCATAAGATCAAGCAGAGAAGGAGTGCAATTAGGAAAGTGGTGTGTTTCCTTTAACGGAA